ATACACATACACATACATATATACATATATACATATGTATAAATATATATATATAATTATATATATATATATGTATATCGATATACAGATATATATATATACACACCAATACATATCTCGCAAGGCTCCAAGGGCTCTCGGCTCTCTCGAAACACTTTGCCAGCGCCTGTTCCGAGGCGCCCGAGTTCGCCATGGCCCGCATTTCCAAGGTCTTCAGCAGGGCCTCGCTCACAGAATGGGTTTAGGGTTTAGGGTTTAGGGGTTTAGGGTTTAGGGTTTCGGGGTTTAGGGTTTAGGGTTTAGGGTGCTAGGGGTCACAACACAAGACATGACCGGACAAGACAGGACAGGAGAGGACGGGGCAGGGCAGGGCATGGAGACATTGGACTGCATTGGGTGCATGGCATTACAATACATTCCTTGCATTACATTGCATTACCTACGTCAAACTTATCGGTGTGCCTGCATGGTTGTGTGTATGCATACGCATGCAATGTGTATGCATGCGCATATGTAGCTGTGTGTATGTATGTATGTACATATATATATATATACTTAGTATATACTCATGTAAACGTGTGAGGGATTGCTTTCCGCGCATGTAGTTTGATTTAGGTCGTAGATTAAGTATACAGGCCCATCTCTTGACTTCCATTTGCTTCCATGTTTAGGCCGGCCTCTAGAGACACTGAAGATCTGAGTACATAGATTGAATGGTTTTGCAGGCTGGGAACCCCTGAATAAATGCTTAAGCCTGCGAATGTATCCGAGGTATCCGTGGCCTCGCCGACGGGGGAGAAGATGTAGCCAAGCGCAATCACCACGTGGATGCGGAGGCAGATGCCCCGGAGGAAGGGCTTCATCAGCCAGAGCGACAGCGGGCTCTTCTCGGTGAGACGCTGTTCCGCCTGTCTGGTCTCTTGCTCACAGAGAGGTCTCGAGATTTTGGTGTGTAGACTTCGGTTTCAGACCTGGGGTTTGAAGCCTTTCGGGCGGTTTCGAAGAGCGGGTCCTGGCAGATGTAGCTCTGAAGCGTCTCCGCATCTTTCACCTTTCCTCGATTGTTCGCCATGGCCTGCTTCATAATCTCCTGGACTCGCTCCTCACTGACACCCTGTGTCAGGAACTCCGCATCATCGGAGATGTCCAACACCTCAACTCGACATCTGCCCTCAACAATGCTTCACGGAACGCTGCTCAAAGAGCCGAGATTTCGAGTCTCCCAAGTCTTTTCCAATGAACTTTATGAGCTGGTGAGAAAATTACAGTCATTGCTACTAGTGATAAAGTAGTGCCAATATCACTCTGACGACTAATCTGCTGCTGTGACAAGCATTGCCACTGATAAACTGTAATCCCACAGGCGCCTGCATCTGGTGGGCCACTTGTGCAGTTGAAGACATACGTCTCAGGGCGCTATCGCGCCGTGGTGCCATCGCCTCCGGTCTTTCTGCTTTAGGGATGGGTTCATGGCTTTTAGGATTCATGGGTTTTTTTTTTTTATGGGCCCTTTTCCACCTGCAGAACAGAGGATTCATGGGTTTATGCCTCTGGGTTTTCAATGATTCGGCTCCGGCTCGAGACTGCGCAGACGCAGCCCTCAAAAACCCCAACAAAACATACAAGCAACCGGATGCTCCAACCCCTAGACCCATAAGCCCATGAACCCTAAACTCTCACAAACCCGAAAAGCGTAAATCCTATCGAGGGCCGCAAAACCGTGCATTCTAGGCCCTAAGCCATACCCTGAAACTTTCTACCGCCATAAATCGGCCTCCTGCACGGCAGTCGTGGCCCCTTTCCTCACCCAGAGGTGGTTCAGAGTCAGGGAGGCACCTGCTACAGCCAAATGACACTGCAGGGTGTAGGATTTTCAGATCGAAAGTCGTAGGATTCCAGGGTGTAAGGTCTTGGTTAATTTAGGGTTTCAGGACCGATACATGATGGCGCAGCCATTGAGCTGTTGGCTGATGACGTCCTGGATTTATTTTTCCATGAAGCTGTGTGGCTACTTGGCCGGTCACTTGTTGTTGTGCCGTGCTTCGAATTCTGCAGACACTGCTGTTCACACCAGTTGCGAAGATTAGACTTATCCTGCCGCAGCTTTGATTCTTCCTCCTGCGATTGTCGTATCCGTGTTGTCAAGACGGCAAGCCAGGCTCAGAGCAACTACTTACATGTTGTGTTTGTTCTTACTTACTGCCTAGTTTTTAGCTGTGCGATCGTCAATGCCGCTGTGGTGAAGCCAGACAATGTGTTGATATCGAATTGGAAACTTCGCGGCGAAGTAAGTACTCTTGAAGTCTCTGTTCATCTGCATCTGCCAAGGATTCAAAGGCAAATGCTTCTTGTTGCCATGAGTGCTGTTGGCTGTACATCATGATTGTCTAGATTCGGCCTCATTGGCAATCATGAGAACGACAGCAACAAAAACAATGATATGTTGTGACCATAATGATTTTGCTGGCGATGATGTCGGATGAACCTCTGATGATGTTGCATATGACGACGACGACGACGACGACGACGACGACGACGACGACGACGACAACTCAAAGAAGAACAGCCCCAATAAGAAGACCCTTCGCCTCTGCACCTCTGCGAGGTCATTTCAAAACGACATCATGCTGATGATCACCCGATTCGTCCCTGTGTACCCTTGGCACCTGAGGACCGTCGGAAGTTGGTGCAGGCCTCTGTGTAAGCGCCAATGAGATTCTCCTCGGACTTCGAACAGCAAGGGCCTTTTGGTTCAGTGACGAGACATCGTAGCTGCCTGTGGCTTTAAGATTGCTTCCCACATTCATGCATGTTACCACATTTATGTATGTATGCATACATGCATAGTATAGGGTGGGGGAGAGGGGGCCGGTGACCGCCGTTGCTTCAAAGTCGCGCGCCAGGTGTGGAAAGGGAACTCCGCAGTTGTCGCATTGCTGGCCATCTTCCAGTAGTCGTTCTCATTCCTAGGAGGCTTTGGGGGTGAGACTTGACTTCTCCGCGGCCTCTACACATCTCTACAGAGGTTCCGAAGGAAAGAGCCGAGTTTCATATTCAAGGCGTAGTCCACGGCGCAGAAGAAGGAGTCGATGAGGCTCTTGGCATCATCGGAGTTTTGCTGGCGGAAGTAGATCCCGGGCATCTTCCCGAGGCCTCCAATGGCGCAACCCACGGAGGGAACCTTAGCGGACAGACAGACTTCCCAGAAAAGCCACATCACCTAGAACTTACGTGGCATTACGTGGCATGTTTGGTGCTAGTTGTTTCCAGTTTTTCGCGGTGGCTCTGCATGCAAGACGTTCTGCGCAGACGGGGCTTCACGAGAGCCATGCGGCCTGATGATTCTTACGGAGAGCTCTTTATGCTTCTGCTCCTTCCTCCACTTCTTGTTCCCTCTGTTCCTTGCTCTCTGTCTGCCTAAACCCTAAACCCTAAGCCCTAAACCCAAAAGAAGTTCAGCTTTGCCAGATCCGACTCGGGAACCCCGAGAAGGCCGAACTCCACGTCCACGTAGCCGAAAGGCTCGGAGCAGGAGGGGGTAAAGCAAAGATGCGCCCCGCGGCGGCATTCCTCACTCAGCTTGAAGAACCTCGGCGGCAAAAAGCAAGGGAAAGACAGGCATGCAAACCCAGGTTGGGCCAGCTAACGCTTGACCGCCCGTTGAGTGCAACATAACATGTTGATGAAACTGTCTCCCTCCTGGCACTCTGCTGTAATAGACCTAGTCTTAGCTCACTTGAACAGGCAAGGCACTTCGTGCAGACGAAGAGTCTGCCCTTGAACTCATCACCCAGTCCAGCAAGCAGCTCGCCAGCATATCTGCCACAAGCATCATCTGGGGGACCTGCGAGGACGATCTGAACATCCTGGTGACTCCTGAGAAAGACCGGGGTCAGCATGGCGATGTGATCCACTCCCTTCTGCTTCACCCAGCGGCCGATGAAGATCAGAATCTTCGCCCCTGGGTCCAAATCCAAGCCACACTCCTTCTGCAGCTTCTCTTTTGCAATGAAGCGCCTCTCCTTGAGCTCACTGATCTCTGCATGGGCATCGGCGGGATCCGTAGCGTTGTCCAGCGCAATGATGTGAGGTATGCCCGCAAAAAGAGTCTTCTCACGTGCCAGCTCCACGGCATAGTTGTAGGCCACACCACAGATCCCGTGCCCTTTCTGGACTTCCCGAATGTAGGTCACGGCTGCCTTCAACATGTTGAAGCGACCCTCGAACATACAGTATCTCCGGATCGTGGAGATCTCAATGTTGAAGATGAGGCTTAGACGGCGCAGCGAGCTCACAGTCTTCCAAAACCGATCACAAATGAAATCCGTCTCGATGACGCCACAGTAATCCGCATTGTGCAACACAAGGATGATCGGCAACTGCTTTTCTCGAGACAGGTAGAGTGGAGCCATTGCAGCATGATAATCCATGCAATGGTACACATCCGGAGCAAGCTCGCTCAAGAGAAGAGCCACTGCTTGGTTCCATAGAGAGAAGTAGCGCAGAGTCGAGACTTTGGTCATGGAGGGGGGGTATGGCTGTGTCTTCACTTTCTTGGTGAAGTACTCATGGCTCAGGATGTACCACACTCTGGTGATGCCCTCGAAATCACTTTGCATGGTGTAAACTCCAACCTCCTGGGGCTTGCCGTCCACAACAATGCTGAATCTCGTGCATTCATCCATAGGGCCGTAGTCGACATCGCCAAACATGGGGTGCACCAGGCTCATGACTCCCGGAGGGTGCTCTTTCAGCATCTGGTCCAGGACCTTGCCGAGCCCACCGGCGCTGACCTTCACGCCCCGTTCGGGAATGGTGTGCTCGATGGCCGCCACGAGGATATGCCGCGGCTCCACGCGCACACCCGGGGGCTGCGAGATGCTCGGCGGAGTGGGTTCCATGACCACGCTCAAGTAGATGCTTGTCCGGGCATTCACCGACAAGATCAGCAACACCGCAGCAATCCAAAGGATGGTCGTGGTCATCGTTCCCCACATAGGGAACCAAGAGGACTGAGTCTCGCAGCTGTACTCTTCAAGCGGCGGCAAAGTGACACCTTTGCAGACGGACCAGTCCCCGATGTCGTCGGCCTGCACAGACCCCACCGGTGCGAAGATGGCCACGTGGCTTGTGGCCAAGTTCCCGGGCACCAGCAGATAAGAGACGTTGTTGTCCATGAAGACCACTGCCAGCCTCGAGGGGTTGAAGAGGTCCACAAAGGCTTGACCCTCTGGATATGGCTGTTCGAGATTCGGGAAGATATACTTGGAGTAATCGGCACTGGGAGTCTCCACCATCCTCAGCACCACCAGCATGGCTTGCGGCGACCCCGCCGGACCCTTGGAGTCGTCCAACTTCCAATAGGCAAGCTCCTGCTCGGGGCCGTCCACGGCCTTGGCGGGGAAGTCCAGCGCGGTGCGGAGGGGGTAACAGGCCTTCCGCATGCGAATCAGGGCTCGCGTCAGCCGATACACCGGGTTCCTGGTATCCAGCAATGGGTCCGAGCACCAGTGCGGGCTGCTTGCACCCTGCAATGTAGAGCCAATCCCGGCCTGGCTTTGAAGTTTGCTTCACGGCCTTCTATGCCCCCTACCCAAAACCCTAGGCCCTAGGCCCCGGAGCCCCTCCCCCCCGGCCCATGAAAAGGCTGCAACGTTCCGAGCCTGGGCTTGGATGCTGGGCACGGCCGATCCCAAGCGGAAAGGCCCTGAAGAGAACATATCCTGTCGCCAGAAGCCCGGGTCCATCCGGTCCCCAAAGGAAGTGTAGTCGCAGCCGATCAGGATCGCCTCAGCCACTTCGTCCTTCATGCCTGCTGCCACCATAGCTGCCTTCTTCTCCTTCCACTGCTGGCACTCCCAAAAAATCTGGGATCTGCGACCGCCTATCGCACCCAGCTCTCCAAACAAGCCGAAACCTTGAAAACAGTTCAGGAAACTAGATATCTTACGCAGCATGTCGCGTAATCGCAGTCCTTCTGCTCCTGGGAATTGCGATAGCAGACGCCATTCAAGCCCATCTCGGCTCCATTGTAGATGTCCGGAATCCCGTACCTTTGTTGGCCCGGGCGATGTTTCAGAGCTGCTAGGTTTCGTCTGCTGCCGCTGATGGCCAGCTGCATAAAGCGAAACTACCACCCCAGTCAACCCACGTCCCATCTCAGGGGCAGTCGCTACGGGGCGGGGCGGTAAGGGTAACCTGCTTCAACAGCTGCGTTTGATGGGTTTTGGAGATTTTTCCCTATATTCTCATTAGTTTGACAGCTGGCGGCCTTACGGCGCGAAAGTTAGAACCACCCCGTAGCGCCCGCAGGGTGGTTCTAACTTGCCTTGGTGAAGTCTCTGTTGAGTACGGCTACGGTGTGATACGGCGCGCTACTTGGCAGTACGGGGTGGTACGGAGCAACTGGGCGGCCCACACCGCCCCGTGCAAGCCCATACCGGCCCGTACTGGGCAGCACGGGGTGGTTCTAACTTCCCCGGGCTGGTTCTAACTTGGCCCCCGAGCAAAAACGACAATTCTGGTTCTAACTTCACGCTCGGAATTTCCGGCGGGGGACTGGCGCCCGAGGTTTTGGCCCTGGGTGGTTCTAACTTGCCGTCCGGGAGTGTAGTGCGGCTGTGATTTCTACGACTGGCAGCCTACGATCATTGTGCCCTTGCTCAGAACTACCGTTGCCCTTGATTGCCACTGTTCTTCCTGCTTTGCTGCTGCGGTGACCATGAACATGACCACCATCGTCATCAGCAGTATGTGACAGCCGTCAGCATCATCATCAACAAGAACAACAACAAAATCAGCACCGTAACCATCATGGCGGCTACCAATTGCAACTACTAGAACGATTGGCCACTGACTAATTTGTTCACTGTTCAACTGCTGACACCTACCTTCCTTCGTGACTGCTTACCTACGAAGCACCTTCGTTCTTATGACCAAGAAGCAGTACCGTCATCCTGGCTATTACTGTCATTGCGCCTAGAGTATCGCTCTATGCTCCTATTTCATCGTGTTTGTGGTGGCTGTGATGGTGCTGATGTTGGTGCTGACGGTGGCAACCAGCGATGCATGCAGGTTCGTGTTGCCGATTCTCATTCACGTTCTGAGTTAATCTTGCATCATCAACACCTCTCACATACATTCAACATTAGTTGCTGTTGTTCGCTGGCCTTAAAAGCTGCTCATAATCTTGTGGCATTGGTTTCAACTATGAAACAAAATTGGGCTACTTCTTCCAAGGCACCAGGTGAAGCTCCAGGCCAAGCTAACCTGGAGCCGCCAGATGTCATCCGCAAAGTTGCCCCCTTGCCTTGGCAAGCACTTGCAGGCTCCAATAGAAATGCTCACACCTTGCTATCCTGTTGAATCCTTTCTTGTGTTTTAGGATTTACGTGAGGCTCCTGGCCGCAAAATCCTCAAAGTCTGGTATGATAGCATGATATTGTCAACATGCAAGCAGGACAGAAGAGATCTCCAGAAACCCCGGAGCGGCTTCAGCTGAGAAATACACAGGAAGAAAGCAAGGCTCAAGAAACGCCGACGAGACGGGACTGTGGATTCTATCTGGATGCTAACCTGCAAATATTCAGAAAGCAGGTATGCTAGATCAAGCTGCTGTGACTGCTGCTCCAAATCAAAGTATAAGATGTTGCTATCTAAAGAAATGCGAGCTGCTGTGATAACAGCTTCGGGGTATCCTTCGACTCTGCCGAAGCCATGCTGGAGTGAATGTCGCCCTGGGACACGAGAACCTGTCGGGATCGGGCCACCGCCACCTGAGGCTCGGGCTTGTTGGGTTGAGGATTTGGGGCTTTGGCTTTTTTTTGGGCGACGTACTCCAGCCCTCAGAAAAGGTTCTTTCTATAAACCAAAACGAATACTAGTTTTGATGGCTATCAATCAATCAATCGATCGATCCATGTATCCATCGGTCCAGCAATCCATTGATTCATCAAGCCATCGATCCAGCAATCTATTGAATCATCAAGTCATCGATCCGGCAATCCATTGAGTCATCAATCCATCAAGTCATCAATCCATTTATCAACCAATGGCTCAACTCATCAACACACTAATCGATCAATGAATCAATCAAATAATTGAAGTAATGACACGATCAATGAATCCGTCAATGAATCAACGAGTGAATCAGAAACTAATCAATCATGCAGACATTCTTTCAATCAATCTATCCACCTATCCATCGATCAATCTACCTATCATACATATATATATATACACGCACACACGCGTACATATGCACATTGGTAGCAGATCGCGTGGTCACTAAGTTTCCTCAAGAAGACTCGCATCCTGAGGAGCCCCCCCGGGCCTGCCACTCCTCGCGGTCGTAGAGGTCCATCGGCTTGGAGGAGCCTGCAGCGACCTTGGAGCAACCGGTAAAAGAAAAAAACACAGCAGGCAAGGAATCTAATTGAAAGGGCACTTAGATTAGGGGCTCCCGAATTCCAAGCCCCAAAGCCCTAAACCCTAAACCGTTCCTGCTTCTAAGGACCTCCAGGTTGGGGCCAGCTTGGGTTTAGGGATCTGTCGGGACCCCTCAGATCAGATTTTTGAAGAGCCCCCACCTCCCTGACCAAGAAGGACTCCTGCACGGGAAAGGTTGCCAGGAACCCGGGTGTCTGTGGCGAGAGGGCGCTGTAGTAGGGGCACATGGCATCCAGCACGCCCTGGACCTTTTTGGGCAAGTACTGGGGCCCCATAGGCCCTTGGACCTTGCCTACGTGCATGAAGCCGAATGGGGTGGTGGCTTGCTGGACCTCGCCGATAACGAAGAAGTTGTTCTTGTTCAGGGCGGCTGCGTAGTAGCGCAGGTTGGTCGCGAGAAAGGATGAGAAATCTGCTGTGATGTGTGACACTGCACTCACCCGGTAGCCGTCCACATCCGCGAAGGCAATCCAGTACTTCAGGAGGTTTGTGAACAGCTCTTGGAGGTGTACGTCCATGGTGTTCAGCTCGTAGTAATTCGTGGAGAAGAACTCGGGAAAGACAAAGCCTGCTTCGATGGAGGTGACGTTCTCCAGCTCCAGCCTCACAAAGTCCATACCCCCGGGTCGGTACATGGCCTTGGGTCCACATCGGACGAAGAAGGACTGATGTTGCATGTACTCTGGCAGATCATTGCCCCAGAACATCTCTTTGCGGGACTGGCTGGGGAAGAGGGGAAAGCCCCGATCCATACCCCAGTATGCTTGCTCTGTCTCCTTGACACACTGACTGACAGAGTCCACTGCGGGATTCGTGGTGTAGCCCATGCCCTTGGCACAGATGTGGTTGACCTGGGGGTTTCCGAAAATAGGGGACCCTAATATAGTACCCTAGATCGTAGGATCCTTAGTATAAGGCCCCTACCCCTAATTATCGGAAAGTCCCACCTGAACATCCAGGACGACTCTCATGTCCAAGGCATGCGCATCCTGCACGAGATCCCGGAGCAGCTCCGGGCTGCCAAAGCCTGGATCGATCTTGGAGAGATCAGAGGTACAGGAGCCGTGGTACTCCCCGGCGCTGTTCAAGAAGATTGGGGAAAGGACCACCGTGGAGACACCGAGCTGTTTCAGGTACATGAGACGGCCCTTGACGCCCTGCAAGTCCCCCCCGTGGCGCCACTGATGTATCGACCAAGGCTGCCCATCCTTCAGCTCCTCCCTCTGAAAGTCTGGGATGTTCACCTCGTCGTTCGACAAGTCGCCGTTGGCAAAGCGGTCCACCAGGATGCTGTAGGCCACATCCTCGTGCCACGTCTCCGGAGAGGCCTTTCGCTCGTAGCCGCTCTTCTCGAACTCCTCCTCGGCCTCGACGACGCGGCCGCGGCTCCAGCCCAGGCTCTCCTGGATCCTGGGGTCCGTTGGGAAGGGCGAGGGGGGGGCCTGCGAAGCTGTCCGGGACTCCTCCAAAGTGAGATTCCGGGGAGGGCACGTCTTCAGGGCCATGGAGGTCGTCAAGGTGGTGGAGCCGAACTTCGAACACTTCGACAGATCTGGGGAGACCGTGTAGTTGAGCAAGAGGTCGTTGAAGAGCACACAGCACGTTGCGGGCGGGCCGCTTGGAACAGTGCTGACCTTCCTCTTGCAGCAGGAGAAAAGGCCACAGCCGCTCATCTCCGGCGAGAAATCGTTCGCCTTGTACTCCACGCAACGATAGGTCCCAACAGTCTCGCACCACTCCTAGGCAGGGCTGTCGCGATAAGGGAATAGACAGAGAGCCCCTCGTAACCCCGTCCTTTGGATGTAGAACCCCCTTGAGAAGACTTGAAGACTCAAGAAGCTCCGGTAAACCCTCTAATCTTATTGGGGTACCCTAAAGGTACGACCCCCCTCCTATCACCCTTTTCATGCAGTAGCCCCTTTAAATACGACTCTAGCAGCCCTTTTCCTTACCCCCCCCCCCCCCCCCCCNNAAGGTACCCTCTATTCTTCTTGGGCGCCCTTGTAATACCTCCCCTTGCTGCCACCCTTTTGCAGTAGCCGTTTAAAGCAGCCCTTTGTTAGTTACCCCCTGGCTCCTGGGTCTCTCCGGCTTTGAAGCCGTGGGCCTCCCACTGCGGATTCTCCGCCGGCTCACACTCCGGGGNNGGTCTAGGGTTCAGGGTTGAGGGGTTGATCCTGGATCCATGCTACAGTCATAAGGAAGGCATCTTGAAGAACAAAGACAAAACAAAACGTCACACAAGGAAGGCGGATGGCAGAGTAGATACCACATGAAAAGACTACAGCAAATCCGGATAAACATTCTGGTATAACTCAGCAAAAAAACTCAAAGCAAGGTCCTTCACAAAGGCCCTTAAAAGTTCCCGAAACCCTAAAACCTTCAAGTTCTCTAAACCCTAAACCCT